AAGAACGCTCAGTTTGGTCAGATCTGGAGCTGCCAAATTGTTCTAATGAGCCACTTCGGTCGCAAGGATTCACAGGTCTTCACGATGCCGGCTGTACAGGTCTAGTAAGTGCTGAACCCGGTGCCCCCGCTAAGCCGAAACTGCGCCGCAAATCCCCTCCAAATGAGCCCAAAATTTGGCTGGGCTATTAGCAACACCGTCAAAAGGGGGAATATAATCCTTGGACCAGAGAACGTTTTTACTTCGAACTTAAAGACGATGGTAACTCTCTGAAATTCGCGGTTATGGTATAGTTAAGGCATTGTCGACAAGGAATGTACCCATGGAGACATGAACAGAGGCAGTCAACCGTTGTGCTTTCCTTCATCGAGTCGGTAAGGGCCAGTAACGGTATAGGGGCGGCGATCCAATGAAGGAGGCGCAATGGTTGACGGTCTCCGCCCACAAATCCCACCCACACCTTTTTTAACTTGAATGATGAAAACCTAACCTGTCGTCTTGGGCCGATGATTTTCGAGAACAGCGTCGAAAGTACGACATTGCTGAACGCATACGTGACTTCGAAGACACTGCACAGTGAGACGTAGTAGACCCACATGTTCACTCGAGGGGTCTCTGTGCACCAGCTGAAGCGTTCCGAATCACAACCACCAAGTTCTGACTCTTAAATACATGTCTGGATAGAAGAAAAAAAAACAAAAGAGAAGTAAAATGGGCATTAATGGAGATAATATGAAAAATAAATGCCGGAACATTTTACAAAAAGAATATGAGCTTATTGGGCCCACTGTCTCAGGGCAAGCCTGCCGCTGGAAAAATTTTTGCAGGATGCTCTCTCTCTGAAGTTTCATTTGTCCAGACCTCCTCTTCATAAGTTCCCAGCCTCTAACCACTTCTCCGGATTTTTTTTCAGAAATTTTTAGACCTTATCCCTTCCTCGAAAATGCCGTTGAGCGTAGGAGGGGGGGGGGGTATTTAGCGCGCAAAGCAGAAAAGATGAAGGGATGTGAACAACCTAAATCATTTTTCATAGAGCAGAGCCATACACATCCCCGCTCTCCCCCCTTCTTCCAGCGGCCAAATATAACCCTTTCTCCCTGGGGATCCCTAACGTACCCTCGTCATCCGGGCAGTTGATTAGGGCGGTCGTCAACGGGCCGCAGCGCGTGCCAGGAACTATTTGCTTTTTCCAGGCTAATTTAGTCATTTTTTCCAACTTTTCACTGTTTTGGCTACTTTTTCCCAGATTAGCAGCTCCTTATCTTCACAAGGTGGAAAAAAATGACTAAATTAGCCTGGAAAGCAAATAGTTCCTGGCACGCGCTGCGGCCCGTTGACGACCGCCCTAATCAACTGCCCGGATGACGAGGTTACGATGTACTTTGGTCTGTCGCACAGGTCAGGCTCAATTGCTCGGGAACACATTCATGAAATGGATGCCAAGGGAATGGGCGAAAGGACTTTATTGCAGCTGTTTAGATACAGCGACGTACGTTGGGGAACTTCATCGAGAGGTATGCCGTAACCTACATTTCCGAGAAATATATCTGCTGACTTTTCATCAGGTTTTCGCGTTTCATGGTATTAGGTCGTTCAGTATGAAATGTCCGTTTTTGAGAGTCAACTTCAGTTTATCATATCTCATACAACGCAAATTACAATCAATCAAAATATGATCCTAAGTTATCAACACATCTTTGCCATTTTAAAGGTAACTTATTAATTCCATCTCTATAGAAATCTGGGGAGCGAGAGGCAATAAAATCATGAAAGGCACTTTCTACATCATCATAAGAATTGAATAATTTTCCCTGCAAGAAGTGATCTAAAGCTTGAAAGAAATGGTAATCTGTAGGTGCTAGGTCGGGAGAGTAAGGAGGATGAACGAGAGTTTCCAAGTCCAAATCCTGTAATTTTAACAAGGTCGAGTTTGCCACATGTGGCCGAGCGTTGTCCTGCAGTAGGAGCGGTCGGTCTCTGTTAATCATTCTCGGCTGCATAACAGCAAGCTTCTCCATCATTTCCTCCAGCTGTTGACAGTACGCCTCCGCCGTGATCGCCTGACCAGGTCTCGTAGCTGTAGTGTAGTGAATCACTCCTGCGGAGGACACCAACTGATACCAGAGCTCTTCTCTGGTGAGGGCCGCTTCAGCGACCCGTAGGTTGTTGGCGGTTAGCTCGACTGTCCCACCACTGCTAAGACCGCTTCTGTTATGCGAATGGGAAGTCACTTCTTCGTCACAGTGACGGTACGGTGTAAGAAAGGCTCGCTTTTTTGCCTAGAAAGTAAGGAAAGGCAAGCCTCAAGGCGGACCCTCTTCTGACGATCGCTCAAGTCGTGCGGTACCCAACGGTCCAGCTTCCTACTCTTGCCAATTTGCTTCAAATGAGACGAGATCGTCACCTTACATACTCCAAACTTTGCCGCTAATTCTCGAGTACTTTGCAAGTGGGATCAGCTTCCACTACGGCTTTAAGCTCATCGTTGTTCAGCTTGCACTCGGGCCGTCCTCTCGACTCATTTTGAAGATCGAAGTCGCCGGATTCAAACTTTGCAAACCATCGACGTACTGTTCGTTCGTTAGGGGCATCCTCTCCAAAGACGACGGTGATATTCCGAACTGCCTGTGCTGCGGTGCTTCCACGGCGGAACTCGTACTCCAAGACAACACGCAATTTGGACTTGTCCATGTCGTTACAAAAACCTTTCTAAAAAAGTCAGATTCCACGGCAGCCGGAGGTCCACCGAAGGTAAGAAAGAGGGAGGCTGCACCTTTACCAAAACTCAGTACCAAGGACTGCCGGAGCGTTTTGCCTTAGATACGGACTCTCGAACTATGCACTTCTGAAAAACGGACATTTCATACTGAACGACCTGATATATAGTACATTTCCACGCTCGAGCTATTGCTTGTTGCAGTAGTATTTGGAGCCACGGCAACCAACGATGAAGATTCACCAGTAGGAAGGAGGGGGGGGGGCGCATTGAGTACTGTGACTTGATACTACTGATAATACTACTGACCTAATACTGTGACTTGACCAATTTGATTTTTTGTTGTGTTTTTCACAGATTCAGATTCTCTACAAAGCAAGTTTCGCTAAACATTCCTCAGCGACAATAACACCTTTGCGCTATGCGCTACTGACTGCACATATCAATATTGACCCCTCTTACCAACCTTACTGCTTATATACGGTCCCCTAATTCGGGAATTCCCTATGATAGTGTGTCCTCTTGTGAAAAAATGTGAAGGAGCCTTTGGAAGAATATCTCGAAGTGGTAAAAAAATGGGGGGGGGGGGGGAGAATTTAGGAAACTGAAAGGCAGGATCGGGGGAGGGAGACGTATTAGAGTTCACCCAGCTGTAAAAAAAGAGACATTCCAATTTATAAAATGTCGATTACTTTACCAAGAGGACCAACAATCAATTGAGGGGAAGGGGGGGGGTCAATCAAAAGACAGTAATATGTACATCAATAACTGATTAGATGAATCTTAGTAGTAAGCAGAAAAGAAATTTACACAGTATTGTTAGTTCACCTATTTTCAATTTGAATAGAAGTTGTATATTTGAAAATGTACCTTGTGGATGTACCGTGACATAGCCTTCCTTTAAAAATCCCCATGGATAAGTGATCAGATGAAAAGCGATGAAACCCAATAAACAAGCGATGTTGACTGTACGTTGCCTCAATCTGAAATTGTTTTGCATCGATTAATAAAATCAATGAGTGGGCAAGAAATCTTTCTAGAATTCTTTCGAGGAGCAAGTATGCAGCGTCATCAGATGATTAGAGATAGTGAAAGCGTAGAAAATCAGGGAATAATTTCTCATGTTTTTGTCCGCCTACCTTTTGCCGATGTCCAGGAAAAGGAATGGTAGAAGAATTATGGCCGCAGCAACACCTTGAACCGCTTGAGAGGTGGCGTTAACTCGGACCGCATCTGTGGCCGAGAAATCGAACATCAGCATTGAGTAAGCAGAACCTAGCCTGAAAAAAAATCGTTGATCCAATTTCCGCGCTATGAAAATTATCGCAAAAAGGGTCAAACCATTCACACCTCAGTCGGGACGAAGCCTCACTCCATGTGTATCGGCCTGATGAATGATGAATAAAGCACACGCCCCGTACGGAGGGGGGGGGGAGGTTGAGGGTTTGAGTTCCTGCTTAAGTCGCATTCTACAGACAACATTGATCCAGCTTCTAGCGCACCTCGTGCTAGCCCCTTACCATGGCTGCCTCCTTCAATAGAGAAAGGCACCAAGAAATGTATCACACTCCAGCGCCTCAGCAAGTCGCAAGGAAGCGCACTGCGACAGCAATCAAGGTAACCACCAATGCACGCCACACGCACAGAGGATCTGAACGGAAACTGAACCCAGGTTCGGTCCCCGGCCCTTTTGATGGCGTATTGCTTGCCCTGCACCACCACAGTTACAACTTATCAGGGTGGAGACGTACCTAGGTGCAAACGTTTTGCCGCGACGCCAGCCTATTCAGTGACTGCTCACCCTAGAAGCGGCGACTGATGGAAACGAGCTGGCGCCGAGCCAAACTGTACACTACTGCACATCTGCAGGGGTTCACGAACGACTCTAACGGCACCGATAGCGACTGAATTCACAAACTGAACTCCACCATAACTATGTCAAAGGGAACGTAGAACTCAGAAATCCGTGGGCACTTCTCTGATAATGTCCGACAGGAAGCAGGTGAAAACGCCCTGGATCAGGCACTTCTGGTTCCATGCGAGACAAAAATCCGTTAGAAGTCGTTAGGAGGGACACACGGGAGAGATACACAAACAAGTAAGAGGAAATACACTAATACCAAGGAATTACTTGCGGTCAGGAGGAGCCACTCAAGCAGTCCTGCACCTTGGCCTTCCTAGCTAATAAGTTTTTGACCTAAAACTGGTACGTGGGAGCCCAATGCGGCCCACACTGAAGTCCCCCAAGCTGGCTTTTAAATCATATAAGTTATGACTAGAAATAAGCCTTCAAAGACTGTCAGCATGAACTTACGTCTCGATATTAGTTGACACAGAAAGTTGAGTGAACCTGGTAACGATGCACACAGCCACTGCTATCAAATCGGCTGGTGGTAGTTCTTTAGCCTAAACAGAACGGTGTCAACGAAAGTCCATGGGAGGAGACACAGGGCTATGTAAGTGCGAGATCTAGGTCCAAATTAGTTCTTCCCGAACTGAGTAATTACCTCTTTGTCTTCTTTGAGACCGGCGTAAGATTCCTCAAACACAAAGCTCATCAGCAAAATACCACAGATGTTCACGATGGATGCAAGAAGTGCCGGAGCTTTGTACATGTCAAGGGACCAACCAAATAGCAATTGAATACCGTCTTCACCCAGTGGGGTGAATAACGCTTGCAGGCCTGGAATTGATGGTTCTGAATCAAATGTTCATTACAATGAGTTGCATTAATAAAGAGAAACTATACACTTATTTCCGCGGTATTGGTCCTTCATATGTGTGGGGTAGCTGGGCCCTCCTGCAACTGTGCCCCATGTGGCATGGGGGTGCCACTACCCTCCAGCTCTGTCAAAATTACTAGGAAACGGAGCTGGAGGGTAGTGTGGGGCAGTTGCATCAATACCAAGATCCCAGCGTTATACGCACTCAGCCGTTGGGAACGACTAGAAGTGAGCGGACGCCAATAAGTAGCGCGTTTGGCCATGTTAGCAGCGTTCAGAGTTCACGATGACGTAAAATTGTAGCGCTACAATTGCAACAGCGCTGCAGACCAATGGACGCGAACGTAGCTGCGGGCGTCAGTGCATCGATACTAGTCTACGTGTATAGGCAATATCTACCATCCTATTGCCCCAGTTTACTCCACACAGAAGCATCACGCGCTGATCGATCAAGCGTTCGCAGGCGGAAGTCTATCTGCGCCGGCCGTCTGCGGCTGCGTTCGCGTCTACAGCTTTCCAGTGCTGTTGCAATTATAGCGCGTTGAAGCGCGTCACAGCACGTTGCAGCGCGTTACATTGAAAGTCTCCGCGCTGCCTGCCTTAGGCGTGTGGCTAGACATAACGGTAACGAGCCGAGTTGGAAGGGGTCACCTGGGTACCACTACCTTCCAGCCCCGTTCCTGTGCACGTTTGACAGGAGAACGTGGTACACTACGGCAGCTGCGGATCCATTCACCCCATACGCTGCAAGCAGCAGGATCCTTGAAGGTGAGTGACAGTTTGTTTGTGAGAGCAGCTGCCATAATAAGAATGCTCAGCCTGCACTTCTCAAAGTGAAGTTCGGTTACTTAACTGACCTGGTCCTATCACAAGTCCAGCAGCAATTCCAGCAGCAACACATCCGATTGATCTCGAACGATCTGCTGATATCGAAGCTGTGGAAGCGTATGCTCGTAGTAGTACTGCATTACCTTCAAATGACAAGTAAGAAGAGCGGTAGAAAACACACAAGGAGTTGCCACAACCAAGTTTTTACAACATCCAATATCCAGTGCTCAACGTACTCGATCCGATTCCTATCAGAATTCGAGATGCAGCCATTCCGTATCGATGACCGGTCGGGAGAATATCAATAATAAGATATACCAGATTACCCAATAACATCATATTTAAACCAAAAATCGTCGGTATTCGTATCTAAACTGAGTACAATAGGGATACGGAGGGGCTCTAGAACTATGAATGGCTAGCCTGGCTCTACTGTAAAGGTAAAAGGTTACCTGCTTGATTCGATTGCTCCAATAGCCAAACACTGGTGAAGCGAGACATGAGCCCAAACTGTAAATAGCAACCACGTAGCCAAAGAATGTCTCGCTCACAGTCGGATCCAGCTGAAATAAGATTAAACTCGTGTTGCATCAGATATTCAAGCGAAGAGATATGAATGATGGTGACTGTTGGAAAAAGCACTCAGCGATTACCTAGGAAGTGGAATAAAAGAAGGTAATAAAATGTGTGCTTGTAACATTATGTTTGAAATGAAAAGTGATTCGTTTCCAATGCCAAGATCTTTGTAGCGATCAGCGGAAGCCATGGAGTGTATTCCCTGGCTCTCTGTAAGCATGTGGTAAGGCCTAGACGCTTGTGGCTTAACTCAAGCCTTTTTCATCCGGGATTCGATTACAGTGCGCTTACACCTGCGTTTCGATCGCCAAAATCGCGCGATCGGATTGCGAAGCATGAACGCACACTTAACTTCCGTTGCTAGCTGGGTACCACTGTGCTCCATCTCGCTGCCCTTTCTGGTCTGCTGCATATTCGCGCTCACACGTCTTCGAGTTTCGCTTCTTGCTCTTCCAATGCTCAAATCATCTGCTAAAAAGTCTCACTTGAAGAGTTTTCAAAAGTTTTTTAAACCATCTTCACTTCTACTCATTTTGTACCTGATACATATTCGCCACGATCAGGTATGGAACTTGAAAAATGGCGTAGGAGGGTAGTGTGGTCCGCGACGAACAACCTTGTACCGGTTTCGCGGCAAAAAATTGTAAGGGAGGGGCGCTATAGCGCAATATAGGTTCAGTGACGCCTCCTTTTCTCCAGTGACTCCGCCTCCAGCCTTCAAGGCCCGCCTTTCAGTGAAAAACGAAGCTGCAGGACGAAAAAGCATGAAAATCGTCACTTGTACGGTCGTAGAGTTCTTATCGGGGAATCAGCTGTGCGGATGAGGGCGTAATATTGGAGATGGAGTTAATGGGCACGTACAAACTGGGATCGGATTGGGGATTTATCTAGAGCAGTTGGCATGTTTTTTCGACTTTTCTTCACTATCGTGCTACTCCTTTGTCATACAAACCCCTTCTGTCCACTATTTGTGATGGCGAACGATCGCAGGCTTTACCTTTAACACCCAGGCGCTGTCCTACCACTGCTACCCCAACATCTCAAAACCTTTTCATGAAAACTTTGACTGTGGAATTTGCTCACTGCCCTGATCAAGAATACGTATTCATTTTGGCGTCGACGTCATTTTGTGCCAAGTAGTCTCTGCCATGACTAAATTTCTTTGACATTCTTATCACGAATATGGTGTTCACTTTCGATAACGTCACTTTATTAGGCAGAGCCGGCGCAGTTGTCGACGGGGGGGGGGCATTTTGCTTTCCATAGATGTGCCGACCCATCTAGGTAGCCTTTTCTCGAGTTGACACGTTTTAGGATGGTGGCTAGACGATCTTGCTCCAGCTTCACAAGAGTTCACAAGTTTTACCAGAGTGAGATTTGTAAACCGGAACTAGGGAAGCAATGATAGTACAAAATGCCCCCCCCCTCCCTCGTCGACAAACTGCGCAGGCGGAGCCCTTTGGTTGCACCACATTTGCTGAGACTGGGGGAAGGGGATTACCGCTCGCCAAACTCAGCCCTAGCGGAGCCCCTAAAGGCGCTGCTGTCGTAAAATGAACGCCATATTAGTGATCAGGGTCCATAATTCAAATTAATA